GCTGGGACGGGCTCAGCCCAAGCCACCGAGCAGGTCTGGTGCCCGACCTGCTGCCAATCCATCGCTGGGACATGTTTCTGCAAACTCAGTCAAGGTTTTACCCCCAGCAGTTGGCAACTATCAGACGTGTCAAGTCACAGGCCTTGAGGAGAACCTTTCCCACCGCAGCGACCGCTCAGAGCCCTGGTTCCTCCGGACCTTGCTCCAATCCTGCTACTTTGTGTGGGGCGTTGGCATCGGGCTTGTTGCAGGAACAGGTTCTGTGTCCTCTTCACCTGAGATGAAATCTTCAGGTCTCAGCAGCTGTTTTGTCTCCTCCAGCAAGGCCAAATCCATCCAGCTTCTGGTCAGACTTTACCTTTTAAGGGATGTCACACATCCATGAAGAAATCACAGGGAGAGCAGGAGGTTTCCAGCCAAAGCCAAGACCTGGCCTGGGCCAGGACAGCAGAGATGGAGGCCCTTCTCCTCCTCCACTGCAGGAGGAGAACAGCAGAGGGTCTGTCACTGCAGAAGGCACGAAGGGCTGATCCAGTGCCAACCCTTTGGGCAGGGTTGGGCAGCCACGTGGGCAGCGTCTGTTTTAAACCTCCAAACACGGAATTGCACCCGCGAGTGCAGGGGCATTAGGATGCACCTGGGTGCGACCCTTTTCTGCAGGAAAAAGATTTTTGGGGGTAAGTGGAGGATGGGGAAGTCAGCAACAGGCCCGAGGCTGAACTATCGACACGACCCTGCGATGCCCAACCGGGCAATGGGCTGACCACAGCCAGCAGCAAAGCAAGCTGGAAAAACAACAGTGCTTTAAAAGCTGTACTGTCATTGTTTTACATTCCTCTGCACGGATGGAAAGATGGTTTTGACGTCCAGGAGAAAGCAGCCAGGGAGGAAAGCTGTGATCAATTACTTAGAAGAGACTTTCGGTCTCACATCAGAGGTTCATTTTCTGCCTCCTGAACAAAGAGCCGTTTCCCCGTGGAACAGGGCACAAAGCAAACACAGCGGCTCTAGTTGGCACACCCAGGAGCCCCGTGTTTTTCTGTCCTTCAACCTCTGCAGCCACGAGCCCAGCGCTCACGCCCAGCTCCAGGAGCGAGTCCGGCTGCCGGCAAGCGTAGAGTTAGGATCCACAACTTGGAAATTAATTACCTCTTCGAACAGAGGGAAAGAGCTCTCCTGGTACAGCACCGAGCGGAACGACAATGCTGGGATCAGGCTGACAGACCCGTCACCCCTCTGGAAAACAAACCGCGGTGCCCATCCTGCCCCAGACTGCTCAGCAGCTGGCACAAAGGGAACACAGACTGGTTTGGGTTGGAAGGGACCTCAAAGATCATCTAGTTCCAACCCCCCTGCCATGGGCAGCGCCCCCTTCCGCTACACCAGGTTGCCCAAAGCCCCATCCAACCTGGCCTTGAACACTTCCAGGGACGGGGCATCTACAGCTTCTCTGGGCAACCTGTTCCAGTGCCTCACCACCCTCCGAGGGAAGAATTTCTTCCCTACATCTGATTGAAATCTCCCCTCTTTCAGTTTAAAGCCATTGCTGCTATGGGAAGCACAACACAAGTGTTTGACAAACAGCCACCTGTCCACCATCAGGAGGTTTGATCCAACCTCTGCTGAAGGCACTTTTGCTTTAAAACGTATCCTTCCAAGGCTGAAGACCACTGGCCTGGGATGGGCTCGGTAAAGGTAACCAGAGGACCTTGGTCATCTCTAGGGTTAGTCCGTATTCCAGCCCTATGCTCCATCTCCCAGGGAAAGGTTCCTGTACTGCAACCACCTATAAACACAGATGTTTAAGAGACTCACATCTGGTTTACATCCCCTCAGCTCTGAATCGTGCCACTGCTGCTGCTGAATGAGACGTTCTCTTGTGTTGGCTCAGAGTGGCTCTGCAGAACAAAGCGGGCAGCTCTAGGGTGGGCACCCACCTGCACACACTCCCAGTCTTCCCAGGCATGTCCCCAGCTCACGAGCCCTCCCCGTAACAGGCACCACCACCACCCTGTGACCAACTCCAACAGAAATTAAACCTCTCCAGCTCAACAGGCAGCCTGTGCTTTCACAGAAGCCCCCAGCAGCTGCTGGCGGCTCTACCTCTGCTTCAAAAGCCATTTTTGAGTTTCCTTTGTAAAAATTAATTCTTCTTAATAGCAGGGAACAACCTCCAGCAATTGCAACATTTTCTGTGCAATTGCATTAACTAAAATCTGCGTCAAAGATTGGGATGATCCTTGCAAGGAAGGTCTCCAATCACTTTCAACGCTTCTGGATGGGCCTGGGGCCAGCTGGAGCTTGGGTGCTCTCCCCAAGGGGAGGGCTGAGGTCCCTCTGCAAATAAAACACCGACCTGAGGCTCTGACACTTGGAAATACCATTCTGTGTTAGAGAAACGGCCTCCCTAGGTGAAGGCTGCACGTTCACGGACATGATGCAAGGCAGGTAGAGGAGGAGAGCCCGTGCCACGAGGGAGCACATGGGAGAGGAGGTTAAATGCAGAGAATAGGTCACTCTTCACAAGGCTTACACCCACCATGGTCCTCGGTGGTGCCACCAAACATGCTTCTGGCCTCAAAAGTTGTGCTGCCCAGCTCTGGTCACGCCTGGAGGCATCGCTGCCCGCTGCTGATGCACTTCACGTCAGAAGGTCTGGAGAGCTCAGCAAAGGAGGCAGCTTTGAGGAGCATCTTTGGTGCTGTGGTTGGATGACAAATCCCCTCAAGGCAACAGCACCTGGAGCTAGCACTGAGCAGAAGAGTTTACATCAAGCAAGAATTAGTTTGATTATCTGGCGAAGCGGAGCCATCGGCAACGACAGATGTGAGACAAGAATAGCGACCACCGGGGGACTTCGGAACATGGTCCAACTCACATCCACTGCTGCAGCCCCTGGGGGGGAAGAACGCTGGAGGTTTCTTTCCAGTGCTTGACAACAGACCGAGTGACTCCTGCTGGGTCTGGGAACTGAAAACCGCCCGTGTTTCTTTGCAAGTCTGATAGAAGCAGAGGCAAGTTGGGCTCTTCGTTGTTGACAACTTTCTCTTTGTGGGACCCAACACAAAGAACCACGCAGACACTTCAATCCAGCAGAATCATTTTATTTCACAGGGCAAATAGGGCCAAGTAGTGATTCCAGGGTTGCCTGGCAAATGTCAGCTCCATGATCCATCAGTAAATGTTCTGCTGATGGCTTGAGGATCCAGGATCTACGGCTACCGTTCACATTAACTGATTTCTTAGGTTCAGCGTTCAAGTGAAATACATTCAGACTTGCTCCTCTCAGAGCACTGCTCACAAGGACACGGTTGAAAGTCACTGAGGAGTTAATTACACAGTTACCTGATTCACATGAAAAGAAATCAACGCTGCTGCTGCGACCCACGAACCCCTCCCTCTCTCTAGCGCTGCTGCTCGGAGCCTTTTCAGCACACGGCAGGATAATATCCCGGTTTTCTCCGGGCCTTCACAGTAAAAACAGCAACTAGAACACACAGCAGCAAAAATCAAGGCAGCATTTGACTGCACGTTCCCAGCACGTTTCCCCTCTGCCACTCAGTGATGAATAACCAGCTGCTCACACTGGCACCTGCACGCACCAGCCACCCTTCACTGGACATCCAAAGGGACTTGGGCACTGAACGCCACGTGCCCTGTCTGGAGAAGGACCAAGGTTTGCCTAATTTCAACCGGGTGTTGTTTTGGGTTTGTTTTTTTTTTTTTTTTTAAATATTTAATGAACGAAACAGACGTGGCTGCTCTCAGTACGGATGGCTGTAGCTCTCAGCCAGCACGGTCCGACTCTGCTGAGCACTAGCCTGGCCCTCCGGCGCTGCTTGCCTGGCTGTCCGCGTTGGGCAGATTCCTGCGCCTTCTTATCTGTGTATCTTCATCCTGAAGGAGAAAAAAAGAAAGAAAATACAAATTGATTCTTCAGCATCCTCTCTGAGCTGGATAAAATCTGACCTCTTCCCTTCCACCTCTTCTTTGCCCACCAACCATTACCCGCTGGGATCAGCCCAGCAAACAAAATCTTTAAACCATCACTCCAGCTCCTCGCTCGACACACTGAAGCCATCTTGCATCTGCACGTGGGCACCTTCCCAAACCATTCACGTGCTCCCACTGAGAAACTGGTCACGTTCCACACAACAGGCAGCTCCACCTTTCGAACCTGCCGGCCACTCCGGCCAGAGTCAGAGCGGCAGCGACGTGATCTCCTTGAGCTTTGCGTCTCAGGCCGTGGGCCACGTTGCGTGAAGCCTGGCCGGACAGTGCAGATTTTCCTCAGGGTGGACCTGATGTCCCACAGAATCAAACAACTTTGGTGGGAAGGGACTTCTGGAGGGTGTAATGCAATTTTCTGCTCTAAGGAGGGTTAACTCTGATGCTAGATCTGGTTCTTCAGGGCATCCATTTGGTCTTCAGGTATCTGCAAGGATGGCGTTTCCACCATCTCCCTGCACAGCCCGCTGTGGTTCTCGGCCATGCCTACTGGGAAACATCTCCCCCTGTACCCAGTGAGGATTTCCTTCAGTGCAAGTTGTGCCCGTCACCTCTTGTCCTTTTACCGTGCATCTCTGCTGCCATCTCCTCTGTAACGACCTGGCAGGTCCTCTCTGCCTCCTCTCCTCCAAGCTGGAGGAAGCAGCTCCCTCAGCCTCTCCTCGTGCCTTACGCTCTCCAGCCCTGACCCCGCTCACGAGCGAACTGCCGGCGCTGCGTGGGCAGGGTTTAACCGTGGGCAGGTTTTGCACCACTGTCCATGACTGACGGGAAGCCGTGAGCAAACATCACGTAGTGTCTGTACTACACGAAAAGCCAACTTATTTCTGCACGGTTCTCCTCAGCAAGTCCCCTCCAGGTGCTCCTCTCAGTACCTCCCTGACCCCTCCACCTCACACCCACCGCACACCGTTCACACGGGACTCAGCCACGACACAGGCACTGCCTGTTCCCAGGGCACTTCGTACCGAGTCAGAGTCTTCTTCAACCTGGTTGCTTGCGAAATCGATATAATCGTCCTTCTGGCTGTCCAGAACCTCTTCCTCGTACTCAGTCTGGTAGTCTGACTCATCTGAAGAGAGAGGAGAGAAAAAACCCACTGGTTTTAGCTAGTGTTCAGAGAGGCAGAGGAAACTGGAAGAGGAACGATAGCTGACTCTGTTGAGCACTGGCACAGGGCAGGGTGACTGCTGGCCAACTCTCTGCAGCCAGATCACAAAACAAACTGTGTCCTGTACGTGAACTGGTGTCCTGGAACCCTCTAGAATCTGAAGAGCCTGGAGCAAGAGCAGTGAGATACAAACTGTCCGTGTTATTCTGGTGGGTTCCAGCTGCCCAGCCCAACGGGACTCAAACGTGGCCAACGGGGAGATGCTCCCGCTTCCTGGTGAATGTTCTTCACAGAATAGTTGCTGCCTCCCACCCATCAGCCCAGGCAAGACCTGTAAAACCCCTTCAGAAGAGATGCCTATGAGCTGCCAACCCAAACTCCCCTGGACACGTCGGTCACAGACTCACAGGAAACAGGGACTTCCAGGCACAGGGTGGAGGTGGTGCGGAGATGGTAATTAAGTGTCTCTCAATCTTTGGTCCACAGTGGACAGTGACATTTACAATCCCCTCCTCTCCACAGGGGACAATCACCTTTGCTCTCCAGTAATCCACTGGATTAACGTAATTTTGGGAAGCTCAAGAGCTGTTGCATACGGCGTCAGCAGCAAGACATGCCACCAAGCCTCCAGCCCCCAGCCCACTCCCCAGGAACGACATACATCTGGGCAGAGTCAACGACTCTTCCAGCACCTGGACATCCCTTTAGGGTCCGTAAACCAGAGAGCAGGAGAGTCACTTGCGAACAGGACTGACTCTCCCACGTCAACCCAACACTCGACGAAGAGGCGGGCGACCGTCATCGGCCCCAGTACACCACCCAACGCGCCACCGCAGAGCCCCATCCCGACCGAGCGGGAAAGCTGGGCACGCGGGCAGCGAAACAGAGCACGTGGCAGATGCCCACCTCCCTCTGCACCGTTCCTGGCACGCAGGTTAGTGCATTAAAATGGCAGATTTTTTTTTTTTTTGCCCCTAGGTTTTCCGCCACTTTCACGAGTTATTTCAAGTGCACTTGGAGTGGCTGAAGCAATACCTGTTTTTCAGCCCACTAGTGAAGAAAGTGGCTCGTGTTTAAACTGGATTCTTGATTAAGTATTTCTTTTGGGAACAGTCAATAGCATCTGCTCCACGCTGAAGACAACAGCACAGTCTGTTCCACAGCATTTTCTTCTAACACAGTAACCACAACCAACTGCTAGAACATTAGTCCTAAAGACATTTGGTCTTTTTTTTTTTTAATTTATTTTTTAATTATTCTTTCTTTTTGCTGTGGATCAGAGAATTATCTTTAGTTTATAATAAAAACACAACTGATAATCTTTGATAAAACAGGGGCTCAAGGGCCAACCACTGCTTTACACTACAAAAACTCCCAGAAGCATCAGGAAGGAGCGAGGCCTCGTTGCCCCGCTTGACACCCCAACACCAGAGTTCGAAGATGGCCCATGAAGAAGAGCTTACACCAGGGAAAGGAACCCGAGCCAGCTGTTAGCGAGGGGGCACGTTCATCGCACAGGGAGAGCACACGACCACTTCTCCTGCCAAAGATCTGCGTTCATAGAATCACAGAATGGTTTGGGTTGGAAGGGACCTCAAAGATCATCTAGTTCCAACCCCCCTGCCATGGGCAGGGACACAT